CCTGTTGAAAAGCAAAACTTTCTTTTATTAATGTTTCTGTTGTACATACAAGGAAAGAAAGGGAGGCACAATCTCACAGAGAAGAAGTTGCAGAAAGGATTTGAACAGGTTTCTCTAACTCTAAAGTCTGTTTTTACCAAGCTGCTTAGTTATTATCCATCCCAGGTCTCTCAGAACAGGCACACAGCACTAAGCACCAGGAAAAACTTGAAGATATAGGCTCTTTTGCTTTATGTCATTAAGTTCAGAGCACATGTCAAGAACAAAAAAGCCTAGGTCTAGGAGGAAAGAGGTGAGCACAACCTTTGTGCTAACCAGTTGTATGCCGTCCTGAGACTAGGCATTTTCTCTCATTTAAAGCAGAGATGCCACACGCCTAACCACTGCTATGGAAATCATAGGAGGTGAGAGCTGTTAGGCTCCTTGTAATGTGTCGTGCTGAGTGATCTATATGCAGCTGTTATTGTCCTGAACCTTTCTGACCATGTTAATCATCCCATTGTCCCAAACAACAAGCAGTTTGAGTGACTCACATTAGGTGACCATCTTCCTTTAATACAAGCCTGGTCTAAATAATTTGCTCCAAAAAGCCTGCCTACCTCCTGTTCCTGGGCAGAGGGGAGGGAACTATTTGGGCAGCGCAGAATGAATGCTCCTTCTGGGTAGCCCCTGTCCACTTCACTAGTCTTCCCTATTATTTCACTTACCCTTTTGGCCTGGGATGCCTGGCAACCCAGTGACTCCTGAGAAACCTGGGCTTCCCAGGAAACCAGCTGACCCTTGAGAACCAGGAAGGCCTTTTATTCCAGGAAGACCTCGTTTTCCAGTTGACCCGGGTTGACCTATGTTGCCTCTTTGACCCTTTTTTCCAGATTGCCCTGAATGGAAAGAACACAGGCCAGCCATTAAGTGAGGTTCTGGTCAGATTTGGGCCATGGCTTATTCCCCTTGGTTCTGATTGCTGGCTTGTTGAGTTTTGTCCATGGCCCTTTAACGATACCCAGTGAGAGCTGTCAACAAGCTGAGTGCTAAATTGCTCAGAGCATTCGTACCTACCACCCAGAGCAACATGCTAAATGCCTATGGCTTCTAGCATGGCACAATGGTGTGTTGGAAACTCAACTGCCTTGTGATTCTAACTTCTTTATGAATGTGGTTTACACTGGAGCCTCTAAATGGAGCTCTGGGAATCCAGGGTGGCAACAGGACTCTGGTTTCCTGGCACTTACACTCTGAATCCAGTTGCAATGGTTGTTTCCCCAGCCAATTGGTGAAGTAGAGGTTAAAGCTGAGCTGTTGTTCTATCTTCCCAGGGAGTCTTGGATACAGGGTTGCCCTTTTAATCCCTCAAGCAAGCGGTTAAGTCAGCCAGTTCCTTGGCATTAGGTTTGAAAGACCCCCTAGTGCCAAGTACTGTAGAGACCCACAAGGCCCATTTGATCTCCTGGGCCCTCTGAGCCTTCTGTCACCATGCTTTAAGTTGGTCAATGGGATTAACCTCCTGAGCTGCTGCCAAAGTGGAATGTCCAGGTACAAAGCAAGGAAATTAAAAAAAGCAAAGGATTAAATCAATGAGACACAAGTATTTGGGCTCCCAAGGACCTGAATGAATGGCTGACTTAGCTTTCCATGAAATGAAAAGCATCAAGTAGCTGCCAGCCCCAGGATTCCATTGGGAAGTTGTGAAGAAAGCTCTGTAACAAGAGAGTGAAATACAATGGGAACCAACCCTCTAGCAGGGGTTCAGCAATCCCTGGCCTTGTAAGCAAAGCCATGTTATAGTTGATAATCAGATAATTCCCCAGTGGGGAGTCTTAGTTGGTGAGCTTGTGGGCTGTTTTTTTTCTTCTTTATGGCAGTAGCTTACATGAAGACCCCAGAAACAGAAGGACAAAGGAGATAAAGCAAATATTAACGGCTCTGCAAATAACTCAGCTTCAGTAACTTAGTAAGGAGGCACAGTGAGGATAATGGTATCAAAGTCCTTGTTACCGAGTGAAAGCCCCTGCTTGCCTATGGATCCTCAGAGGCATGTTCCCCTGACAGGCATATTCCCCTCACAGGCTGTCCTGGTGATCCTGGTGATCCAGGGTTGCCCCTCTCACTGGGCAGGGGTGCGTGTGTGGTGAGGGTGAGGGTGAGGGGAGTTCAGCCCCAGCTCTCTGTCAAATCAGGCTCACCATAGCCCCAGTGAGGGTACAACACACCTCAACACAGGGTGGTTTCTTTAATAGAGAAAGGCCAGAGGCAGGCCAAAGCATCAAAAGGGGGCAGGAGGCCGTGGAAGACAAAAATGACAGAGATTTGCTGTCATAGTTCAGAAGCTAAACAGTAGCAGTGTGTTTTGCCTGGCACAGCCAGGGTGATTTGGGATCTGACACTAGAGAGGTTAGGAAAATCAAATCTCCTCGATTCTGACCACGTCACAGTGCCACTATTAGTCCCCAGGATGCCTAAGCCTAGCTAAAGTCTATCAAGTTGGGGTCCTTCCTGCAATGGGCCTACCTGAAATGCCTGGAAGGCCTGGTGCTCCTGGGAGTCCAGATGCGCCCTTGATGCCAAGTGGATCACTAGACCCTGTGGGTCCTGGCTGTCCTGGTGATCCTGGTGATCCAGGGTTGCCCCTCTCACCTTTGGGGCCTAGCATACCAGACTTCCCATTCAAACCTAATAAAAAAGGAGGGGACAGATGTTTATAGCCTGGATTACAGGGAGGCTCTGGGTCACCAAACCATCTTCCAATGGAAGGGCTTGGCCCACGATTCACCTCAGGTGACACTGTCTTCTCTTCTCAACAGCTTTGCAAGAATTTGACTATTGGTTACAGCTACCCCTGAAATTGCTATCATAGGAAAATGGACTCTAACCACAGAAGGAAAAATTTTCCCCAAAGAGAGAATAAAATGTCATTTTAGATGCCTAATTAATTATTTCAGATTCAGCCATGTATTTCATGCATGTATTTATGCAAAGACAGCAGTTACTTTACATAAAGTTTTGTTCATTGTTAAGTATGGGGTCAAGAAGAGTCACCCTTGGGTCCCGGAAGGCCAGAGTCTCCAGGAAATCCTTTGTCCCCTGGCAATCCCTGTAGGCCTTGCTCCCCTGAAGCACCATTTTCGGCACCAAAGATGTCACCAGTGGCTCCCTTGGAACCTGTTAAACCTGGACTGCCAGCCTTTCCAGGCAAGCCATCTTTTCCAGGAAGCCCAGGAAACCCAGGCAATCCCTTCTCCCCACGAGGTCCAGGAAATCCTAAAAGTAAAGAGGCAAAGGTAAAAAAGGCCATGGATGTTTACAAGCAATTTATATGGATAGAGATCTGAGACAGTTTTTTTCTAATACAAAAGCTAATATAACAATAATGATTAACAGTCTCCATTCCTTCAAGGATTTGTACAGAGGTAGGGACTACACCACATGAGTGGGAGAAAAGTCTAGTTCTGGGAGGCTGGGAATAGGCACAGCTTAGCAACCTGCTCCTGTTTCTGGGGCTCAGTAGTTACTAAGAGCCCAAGTCACAACAAGGCCTTCTGTCCAAAGCTTAGGCTATCTTGTACTTATTAAACTCCAGATATCATGCCCTCCCTCTTAAGAGGGCAGAAAGTAGTGGAAAGACCTGAAGCGATGCTAAACACTAGAGCAGGTGGCCCAGGATAGAACTCGAGCACTAGAACAATGGCAGTTTAGAACTTATAGTGACACACAGATTATTGGCTCTATCCTGGAGCTTTTGCTCACTGGGCATTGTGAGCAGGCTGAGAATTTTCATGACTACCAAGTTCCCAGGTGCTGCAGGTGCTGACCCAGGGAACATAGTCAGAGAAGCAGTGATACCCTGCTGTCCTGAAGCTCAGGTTGGAACAGCTCTAGAAAGGGGAAGACACGGGTAGCTTCTGGACTGATTTGAACTCCTTTCTCTGACCTCTCAGAAGTTCATCTGGGACATTGCCACAAGACTTGGAAGCAGACAACTGCAGAGCCCTGCCTTTGTCAATAGTGGCTTTGTGAAATATCAGTTTCCTCATTTGAGAGTTAAGGGGTTGGCTCCATTGGTTTTATGTGGCCCTTATTGCTATGTTATGACCTCATTCTATGGCTCTCCATTGATTGCATTTTGCCTGGAAGTCAACTCAAACCACCTCATCTACACCAGGGAGTAGACCTAGCTTATTGTCATCAGTGGAGAGTGAAAACAACCCAAAAATGACAGCCACACAAGGGGTGACTTTTTTCCTTACCTGGCAGTCCTGGGAGATGAATTAACCCCGGACTTCCGGGCTTTCCTTTACTTCCATGAGCGCCAGGCTTGCCCCTGGACTTCCAGGGAGGCCCCGAGCTCCTTTAGAGCCTGAAACCCCAAGTGTAGGTAGTGAGGGGAAAGGAACACTACCTCCGATAGGCTAGACTTAGGAGGCTTAGTCAACAATCGTACTCTTTGCCGTTCTCCCTGAGTCTCGCCTCCCCATACCACACTCTCCAGCAGCTGTTTCCTCAGTTGCTCAGAACACCCTAGAGTGGTACCCTCATGTGGTATTGGGGTCCTCTGCTTCTTTTGATTCAAGGCCTTTAAAGTGTGCGCTCTTTCTCTGGCCTCATTCCATACCTGGGAATCCAGGAGCTCCAGGAAATCCTGATGGACCATACGACCCAGGGATAATACAAGGCAAGGTGACTCCTGTAAATAAATGATAGGACATGGGACTGTGAACTCACCAAGTCAAAGAAGAGTTTCCCTCATATTCTCCTTTCCTTCTATTCTATTTAGTGAACAACCATAGCTCCCCACTCAGCAGCTAGGAGCACACACATAAAGCTTAACATCTGAAACTCTTGGGAGGCATTACTAGCACAATTGTTTATCCTTGTTATTAGTGAAATGGAGTATTACTTATTGAACCACTGGTGCCTGATGGGCAAGCAGCCACCTAGGTTAGGTGTTACCTAACAAGGTTTCTTAGAGGTGGCCTGTGCAGGAACAGCAGCAAACAGCAATTGTGTCCCCACTATTCCTAGATAGTGTCTCTTGCCAGGCACTTAGGTTTCAGCTTTGAGGGTTTGTGATGTCTACATTATTAGAGTGGATAACTTGAAGCCATAGCTATTCAAGTTCACACCTACACTTCTTCCTCTTTTAAAAAAGTATGAATTTATTTTTAACATTGTCTGCATAAGGGTGTTTTGTCTGCCTGAATGTGCACCACGTACGTGCCCGGTGCCCATGGAGGCCACAAGAGGGTGTTGGATCCCCTGGAACTGGAGTTAGAGATGGTTGTGAGCTTCCATGTAGTTTCTGGGCACTGAAGCCAGGTCCTCTGGAAGAGCAGCCAGTGCTCCAAATCACTGTGCCATCTTTCCAGCCCCAACCCCCCTTTTATTTGCAAGAGGGTTTTCTTCAAAGCATTATCAGGTGTCCTTGTTCAGATATGTATGTGTCTAAACTAAGGAAACACTTAAGACCACTCCCTTGGTCATGACAAATTGAGACTCCTCAATTCCTTATTGGAAACTGTAAACTCTGCTACTCAGGGAATAGAGACAGTCAATTTTGGTATTCAAGGTGCTGAAATTAGCATACACAGCTTTTTCTGTAGGAAATTCTTTGCTCATTCATACTGCGAATAAATAGTCTGTAGGATCACAGAGGGGAGGTTTAATAAACTATTGGTGACAGATTGTTTGTGAACTTCCTCAAATGCCATTTGTAAACAATTGCTATGCTAATTAAAATTAGCCTGTCCTATTCATTAAAATGATTCCCCAAGGTCTGTCTTAAACTACAGAGCCAATGGTTCCAATAAAACTCTGTAGCATTTGTTAAAAAACAACAACAAAAGAACACAACTCTAAAAACGACTCGTATAGAATAAGATTATTTTTGAAAACTATATATAAAGCCTATGAGTCAGACTGCTTACACAAGCAACTGTCATTTCTCCTTTTACTTATGTCTGCTCTCCAATACAAAGTCCTGTTTAAAAACCAAACAAGCCAGGTGGTGGTGGTACACGCTTTAATCCCAGCACTCGGAGGTAGAGGCAGGTGGATCTCTGTGAGCTCGAGGCCAGTCTGGTCTACAGAGTACCAGGACAGTCTCCAAAGCTACAGAGAAACCCTGTCTTGAAAAACAAACACAAAATAAAACAAACAAACAAACAAACTCACTTGTTTCAGTCCTATGTCAAGATCAGGAATTGAACAGTATATGCACTGGTTATACTGGGCTCAGAAGCCAGACAGAACTTAAGCTAGTGTCTGATTACATACATGTATGGGAAAAATCTTAAGTTCTCTGAGCCTTGTATGAGAAAGGGGAACTGTAGGGGACCAAAAACTATCAATTAGAAAGTTCCTCGGGGTCCATACCTCTGGCTCCATCTTTCAGAAACCTGAATCTCCATTATATTGCAGATGCTGGCTAATTGCTGCCGGATGGCATGGCCTCAGTGGAGAATGTCTCCTAGCTTGCATTAGAACAGGCCTAGGCCCCGGCAAGAGATAGGGAACTACCTATCCAATAGTGTCTGTGAGCAGTACATGAAACAGACATAGACACACTTGATCCACTGCCTGGCACCCTGCTGCATGCTCAGCCAATGGCAGTTCCTATCTTCCTTGAGAGGTGTCCAGAGCAGCTCCTGTAAGTCAATCCCTCACTTCCTACCTCAGTCGTTCTTGTGATGGTACTTGAGAGCTTTCTAGACCTTGCGCTCTTCTGATCATGTTGCCCACAGGTAGAAAGATGGCCATCATGTCACACACTAAGGTTGCAGAGCTATCTCTGAGAGGTATTTCCCCATTGTGGAAATGTGTTCTATTAACAGGAATCTCAGAGTGAGACACTTCACTGGGAGGGAGTCCTGTACTCTGCCAGGGCCCAGAATTATTGAATGAAGGGGAAAGACTACCCGTGTAGCTGGTGTTATGAAAGGGACCCTATACAAGACTCTCCTGCTACTCAACTAACTCCATAGCCCATTAGTTTCAGTGTCTGTGTCTTACTGTTGTATTTCTATTAACTTACTCATATGTCCCAGGACAAACTAAGGAAAATATAAATATCCCTGAGTGGAATGTAAATATAAAGCCACTGATTTCCCCAATTTATCAGACTAGTTTCATAGATTCTTTCCACCCATGAGAACCAAATCAGAGCAAAGCCTTTAAAAGATGGAATGAGGCCAGCCAGCTACTCTAGGAAAGAAAAATGGTACCTGAAGGAAGTAGGTAGAATCCAGAAGAAATCAAGGACACATTCCCCTCCATGATTTCCCCCCTTATAATTTGACCCAGACTACTATACTGCATTGTATTTTGCAAGGAGGGGTTTAAAATGATGGGAAGGTTAAGGACTTCCCATCACTCCGTATTGTATCTGGCTTTTTCTCTACATTGTCATGTTTTTGGCTTCACAATCCTGAATTCAGACCATTCTCAATAAAGCAGAAGTCAGCTTTAGCTATGTTATGCTATTTAGCTATGTTATGGATATGCAAAAAATGACCACATAATTCAGAATTTTCACCATGAATACCAAAATTCATCTTTAGAACATAAAGCACCTCTAGTTTTCAAGATTCTGTTATTTCTATTTGTTCTGAGACTATATAATAGAGACCAGACATGCAGGGCTCCTTGCACATGTACCTTGAAAGGCATGTTATAACTCAATAACAGTTCAGAAAATGCAATTAGAAATCAGTCAGTCCATCAACACACATGGTGGAGGAAATCAGCCCCTCTCAGGAACTGCATACCACTTCCTTCTCTAGTGCCCTGGAGGTATGCACAAAGGAGCCCTTAAAGCAGTGTCAGTGGCCAGTGACAGCCTCTGCATCCCAGCCTCACAATTACCCTGCCTCCAAAAAGGGTACAATGTGGTATTTCAGATATTGTGTGCATCAGAGGAAAAGGTGAACAAAAGAGAAAAGGCTATGCTGACATCACTGTCTGAGAACCTGGAGATGTAGTGAGCTCTCACCTCCCTCTGTGTCTAAGTCTCTTTCACCAGTCTCTTCACCTGCTGCAGCAGTAATCACCTAGACCAATTATGGACAAGAGAAAATGAAGCTAAGACACGTGTTTGTTGAGTCCCAAGGGAGGTCTGTGTACAGACCAGATACACTTGCTAACTACATTCATTGTGGGCATTGAGTGGAGTGCTGGCACCCAGGCATAATTAAGTACACAGAAGCCATTTGAAGTAATAACCTGCGTGATAGATTACATTGGGAATCTGGAGCCAGAGCCTCTATAGCGACCATCAGTTGTCAGTGTTCCCAGAGTTTGTAGTAATTCATACCACTAAGTTGAACAGCTTCTGATGACTACATGTCCTTCCACGGCAATTCAGTTGTCTACTCCTGGGCTATCACTGGTAGGAATAGGCAACATTTAGGAACAGCACCTTAAATTTTTGTAATAGAAATGGCTATAATGCATAAAGGTGCTTTTAAATGATTTGAAAAAAAATACTACACATTTAGTGAGTTATATTTAGGTACTGAAGAGAAAAAAGAGAGATAACATCTAAATGAAGTACTTTCTGTGTGTGGTGGTACAGATATTTAATCCCAGCACTTAGGAGGTAGAGGTAGGATGAGCTCTGTGAGTTCAAGGCCATCCTGGTCTATTATAGTGAGTTCTAGGATAGCCAAGGCCATGTAGAATGATCCTGCCTCAAAAAAACCAATCAATCAATCAATCAATCAATCAATCAATCAATCAATCAATCAATCAATCAATCAATCCGGCAAGCAAGCAAGCAAGCAAACATCCCAAATACAAAACTAAAGAAGGTATTTATTTGAAAATCCAGCTACTTCTAAAAGAACATATTCGATATAAGGTGCCTTTCAGTCTAGACTTCTTAGCACTGTGTTCCTGAGAACTTTCTGTATCCAGGAACTCAAACTAGTGAGTTTGGGATAGAAGATATCCTACTGGTTTTCTCCATGATGCAGCCTCATCTCAAACAAAAAGACTGTTGATAATATCCAAAAGGTTTGAGGGTATACAAGTTTATAGGTGTCATGCATTGTAACTAAATTTAAAACCTAGTTGCCTTCAAAATGGGTTGAGAGTGATCCATCAACAGTTGAAGACCAATAGAATGGCCATAATTATATATTCAGGATATAGAGTTGAAACCAGAACTTCTCAAAGGAAAATTGGTATTATTTAATAAGACACAGACTAGGGAAGTAGAAAGCTTTCCTAGCTTGTACAAGGCCCAGGGTTGCATCCTTAATACCGCACACAAACACAGAAATTCCTCAAAGCTTTCATAAAACTTTGTGAAATGAAATTCTGACTTGGTTTCAAGAACCTTGGATGAAGTTTTAGCCTGTGCCATTGTGCTTATCACGTTAATTAAAATAGATTTTAAAATCCAGCTATATAAGACATTATATCTTATTTTTATTTGTTAAATCATTCAAGGTTATTAGGAAGGGCTTTTCCTCTGCAAGTAAATATGAGTCTCTATGTTGTACCCTGCTAGGCAGGTTGAGAGGGTAAGAAACATCACCTTCCTTAGTATCTAGAAACTTTACAATGTTGTTGTAAAGGGAAATCATTGATGGGGGCAGACATAATTGAAGTAATGGCACAGTGTAGAAGTCAAGGGAACTCTAAATGGCAGAAGGTATTTAATTGTCAGCAATGTGCATACATAGAATTGAGAGGGAAAAGTCAACAAGGAATAGAAACTACATAGGAAATTATCTTTTGCTCACTTATCTATCCATCCATCCATCCATCCATCCATCCATCCATCCATCCATCTTTTCTGAAAGCACATAGGTGTTTGATAAACTAGGTATCAGATAATGAGAACTTACCAGGAACAGGAGAAAATTTCCAAGAATGAGATAACCCTAAATTTTCAAACTTCGATGACTATGAGAAGTGTGGTGCCATTATTATAAATGTAGAAGTCACAGAACACAAGACTGTGATGAAGATACATTATGACTGCACAAAAGACAAGGTTTTATGGGGCCTTCATAATATAAAAGCAGGAATGTTACCCATTCTAATCCTTGAAATTCAAGAGGGAAAATAATGTATTGAAGGGAGTCAAGTATCAGATAAGGGTTAGGTTAAAATCTCTGAACAATCTAAGGTTCTGTCGGTTGGGAAAGGTTTTGGTTTGCTGATAGTATAACCATAAAACTTAGAGAATGATTTCTCAAACCTCCCATTAACTATTTTGATGGTGTTTACAACATAGAGTCATCCATCATCTTGAACTTTTCTATGGGCTATGGGCTCAGAACTTGTCTAGGTGGCTCTGTGACATCAGCTCAGTTAGAAGTTTTCATTAAGAAGGGCTGAAATCAACATTGTTCTACCTTATAAACTTACCACAATACAATTATGATCCATTTCCTATTTGAAAACCCTTGAGGATTGACTGTAATGATTACAGCTAGCCAGATCTCCTTTTATGACGCATTTCATGCATATGAGTCATGGTCATTCTAAGAAAGGTTGATTTTCTGAGTCTAAACCATCTGATTCTATGACTCACCTTGAGCTTCACGGAAACCTTGTTGCCCCGGCAACCCATCTACTCCTTTATCTCCAGGAAGTCCACGGGGCCCAGGAAGTCCTGGCAGCCCAATTCCTGGTGGTCCAGTTGGACCATCATGTCCCTTTTCACCGGGAAGTCCTGGTGACCCCTTTTCTCCTGGGAAGCCAGATCCACTATCTCCCTAGAGAACAAAGAAAAAAGAGAATGGGAGTTCATTTTAAGTCTTATCTTAAAAGGCTTCTAACCACAGTGATAAGGTAGCCAGTGAACAATGTTTTGTGCTTTGTGAACATTCTTCATCATTCTAGTTGATCAATCAACCTTTGAGTTTGCCGAGTGGAGATGAGTCTTGCTAACTCTGGGTGATCTGACTTTATTAAGTGAGGCTAGGGGAACAAAGTAGGGAGTGAGGATGGCACCAACAACCTTTGAGGTCAATGAAAGCAACTTGATTACATGGAGGAGGATGCCAGTGGGAAGTTGAATCATTTTAAATTGATATGGTTAATTATTCCTAGTGCTTACCAAATGAGATAAGTATTCTGAGAAAAAATTCTCATTTTACAAAAAATAAAAGCATGGCCTCAACATGTCAGTGGGAGTCAGACTCTCTGTTCTCCCTTTATTCCATAATGCAATGACCAGTATGATTATTTATAGAGCTAATCATCCAGGAATGATCTACTTACCGGAATGCCTGGGAGGCCTGGTAAACCTGGTATTCCATTCCTGCCTGGAGCTCCTGCCATTCCTGGGATCCCCTGGGGGCCAGGATCACCTTTGTCCCCTGACAGTTTAGATCCTCTACTGATGGTTGGTTCTCCTTTCTTTCCTTTGAGTCCTGTATGACCTCTAGATCCAAATAACCCCTGATAAAGAAACAAATGGCAATAATCAGGAGATGCAGGCTTCATAGAATTCTAGTGCTTGCAAAGATATGACCTAAAGTTGGCGATTAAGAATATTTTTTCACAGTGTTCTGGGCACATGATTACCTTGCTGTCTTGGATAATTACTTTGAATTTTCTGTATCTTTTCTAAATTCTGAAATGTATGAGGACTGAACCTCATCTTAATTTCTAAGCAGTGTCACCCAACCAGGAAAATCTAGTTACTGTGTGGAAGGGAAGGAGGGACCAAAAGTAAGTTGAAGCAGAAAGTGACTTTAGAGACCATCTGGTCAGACTGCTTTATGTGACAAAGGCCCTCAGTTTGGTTTTGGTTTTGTTTGTTTTCAAAGTTTCTCTTCATTTATTCTCTGCAGAAGATTTTCTCCATTAATTCATCGCACAATTTCCAGTTGGAGTTTAGACTTACAAAAGGAGTGCTTCTAATTTTTCAATTGTTGAGGAAATTTCTTATGTACCCAGTTATCACTGTGATTTGTTACTTGTCAATGGTAAACAAGAATTGATTTTGCTAACTGCATGAATTTAAGCAAAGTCTTCAGATATTGTTATCATATATTTATTTTATCCCTGTTTTTCTTTCATCAGGGAACTGATTGATGGGGAGTGAAAAACATTTCTCCACTCTGTATCAAAGTACAATTAAGACTTACCGGAGTCCCCAATGGGCCAGGTGCACCCCTAGAGCCTGGATCTCCCCTAGTTCCTTTAATACCAGGAAGGCCAATGAGACCTTGTGTCCCAGGCAGGCCTGGTTCCCCATGTGGTCCAATGTTGGGGGTCCCACCTTCGCAAGCACAAAACCCAGGGTCTCCTGAAGGAAAAACAGATAACAAATAAAAATAGAAAATGTCAATAACAACTAAAATAGGTTCTTTTTCCAAGAGTGGTTATCTATGTTCTCACAAGCTTCCCTTGGGGGAAAAGCAAATGGCTTTCAGAGACTCAAATAGCCTAAGTTCACTGTCCATCAGAAGACATCTGTACTAGTGAGTCTGTTTTTACTAGTCTGGGATGTGGTCCAGGTATCACTGAGTCTCATGTTGAGAACCACCAATTGCCATGTGAATAACTGAACGTCTAGAATGTAATTAGTTCACTCACATATACTGGTGTGACTGATGACAGGAGCTTCAGTGAAGTGCCCTTTTAAAGAAAGGTCTCATGTAGTACATGTTGGCCTCAAACTCAAGTAGGCATGTGCCATCAAGGTCAGTTTCAACAAAGCACTTCTGATGACATCCCAAGGAGTCCCAAGAATATAACCTAACCACTTACAGTGTTTCCATGAGTGCAGTCTGCAGAATGACATGTGATGACACATGTAGTTGGTTATGTTTCCCTGTGATCCTGAAGGATGCCTTCTTACCTTTAGAAAACTGAGGTCATGGAAACTCAAGAGAATGAATGGTCTATTCCTTGGATTAGTGAAAACTGAGCATAGATGCTCTGAAATCTTAGGCAAAGGAGATTGTGGATTTTTCAGATTAGGGATGATTATCTGGCCATATTGATGGAATATTTCCAAGTCCAAAGACTACAAAATCACAAGAATTTCTGTTCCCAAGGATTTTGAAGAGGAATAGTCAATTTTTATTTCTCAAGTGTGATCCTAGGCCTTGTGAATGAACCACCTGGGATGCTGGTTTATGAGGCAGCTTGCTGGGACCCTACTTGTTTTAGTGGAGCTAAATGGCCTTTTCTCGACAGAGTCCTCGGCTAATGGTGTTGGGAAGCAGTGTCTAGACAAAGCCTTGCAAACTGGTTTGCTGTGCTGGGTAGCACTCTGGAATGCTGACACTAGGCTCGAGGGGTGAAAAGAGCAGACAACAACCTTCTTTTTTTGTTCTTTGTGACCTCTATTTCCATCTTCATGCTTAGAACCCTAATTAAAGCACTTCCAACAGCTCTATATCTTCTCTCAAGAGCCCAGAATGCTTTTGTTCAGGTTCTCAAGGCTATTGTTTTATCAGTCCTTACAGTCTCTCTAGGGATTTGGGGCAGGGGACAAAAAAGAAATTCAAGAGACAAAATCACCTTTTACTCCTTTGAGGCCCTGATGTCCTTTTTGACCTCTTTCTCCTTGGAGACCAGGGAACCCAGGCTCTGTGCTAGGCAAGGGTCCAGTCTCAAATGTGTGGCCTGCAGGATTTAAAAGGACACAAAAGGTTGAAGGCTGGTATAAACCCAAGGACTCACCTCAGTCTCAAATGCCTGGGTCCTTGAGGCTCAACACAGAGAGTAGAGTAGGAGGGAAAAAATATCCCAGCCTGGGAACCCTGCCAAGTCTACTGCGGAAGAGCCAACAAGACTCTCATTTGGCTCTATTCACTCTACTAGCAGAGTAACTGTTATGTTCCACACACTGCACAAGATTCAGAGATGAACAAAGTAACTCAATAACTCAGCAGTGCCAGTCTCTATCCCAGAAAGCTTCATTTGGGCAAAGAGGAAGCAGGTGCCAGCTGCAGTGGTCAGGGGGTTTAGGCTGCAAAGATGCATGCTGGACAGTACTTCCAGCCTTTCTCTCATAATCCAGAATCCCATCAAAGGAGAATAGGCACTGTGTAGACATGCATATTTTACCTACCTGTCAGTCTGTCTGTCTGTCTGTGTGCATGCATGCCTGTCTATCTGTCTTTCTACCAGCTATCTCATAGTGGGAACAGAATCCATTGCCTCGTGCATGCCCAAAACCCTATCAAACTGAGCTACACCTCTAGCCACCTCCCCATGAAGGCTGTTAGCAGACACCTTAAAGATCAAGGCACAGCCTCTCCTTTCTCAGATTCTCAGCCTACCTGATTGGAGCTTGGGAAACTCAGAAAATCCAATTGGGCTTCTCTAGAATCTGAAAAGCCAAAGTCCTAGCAGAGGTAGCAGGGGTGTGGCCACTGAGAGCCGTGAGGGACAGAAGGCCGATGAATGTGGGAATTAGTGTTTGCTCATCACCAGCTTGCTCTCTACCACTGTTACTGTCAGTGGAGGTGGAGCTGGCTCAGATGGCTGATGGAGCCTTCTTTGTTGCCCCACTGCTGTTAGCTGTCCTCACTGAACTTTCACTCCTGTGAGGGGCCCTGGCAGACTCATAACGGTTCGAACCAGACCTAGGTTTCACTACCAAAGGGAGGAAAGAATAACTTACGAGGTGGGCCTGATGGTCCTGGTAGGCCTGGTAAACCTGGAAAACCGTCTTTGCCAGGTAGGCCAGCCTCCCCAAAGGTGGTGCGTCCTGGGTTTCCTTGGTCTCCTTTCAGGCCTAGAAATCCCTCAGGCCCTAGGGCACCAGGAAGACCTGGAAAGATAATCCCACACAAAATGCTCACCATAGCACCCTGCCATGCAATCAGTGGTATATAGACAGAACAACACAAGGGAAGAATCAGGGAAACCATTTGCTCCTTTCTTTCATGACAGTTAGAAAAGTCCCTTGGGAACCAATTAGCCTAACTGCCTGGGAAACTGTGGTTAACTTTTGAGGAAAAGTTAGGTTTTCAGCCTCTGACTGCTCCATTTGTTCCACTTCAGTGCTGGGCCCAATGATACCTCCTATGAATGGTTGCCTTCAAAACACAAATATCCTTACAGAGGTCCCATTCCAAGGAATTTAGCAACTAGTGACTTTAATAGACATGTCTGAGCATTTATACTAGGGACAGCCCTGCCTTCCAGACTCTGGCATGCTCTTTCTCTGCCCTATAGAATAGAATATAGGTTTTCTCCTTTGATGATTAGTTCAATAGTGTCACCCATAGGCTCCTGGGGCCATTTTGTGCTAGAGTTAAGCCTAGAAGGGGGTCTATGTACAGATCTATCTATCTATCTATCTATCTATCTATCTATCTATCTATCTATCTATCTATCTATCTATCTCATACTGAGACTAGAAAACATTGCTTTGCACGTGCGTGCCATAAACCTCTGTAATTGGGCCTTTCCTCATGAAGGCTTTTAGCAGCCACCTTGAAGATCCAGCCATAGCCATATTCTTCTTTGTGAAACTCTCTTGGTGAGTATAATATCAAATGACACATTCAGGGGAAGAGTGAGAGGGCTCCAACCACCCAATCCAGATCTCCAGTTACTTCCAGCCTCGACGGCAGTCTGGAACTCTCTTTCTGTCTGTGGTGCACTTTAACTCAAAGAACAGCTACTGACTTCGGCCCTCTCTACATATACACTAAGTTTAGGCTAGCTATGGGAGAACCTACTGACCAGTCTTCTTTTCCTTTGACCATGCTCCTGGATCCTGAGTTATAGAGGGAGATACTAGGAATTAGAGTACAGAGAAGACCGATCAATGCAGTGAATGGATTAATTTGCTTCACCTGTTAATGATGGAAGGCCAGGGGTGCCAGAAGGGCCACGTTGGCCTTGGATGCCTTCATCTCCTCTTAGGCCTGGGAGGCCTGGCACACCAGGGTCTCCAGGATAACCTGGTATTACAATGAAAAATGAGTAAAAAACACAACAATGCTCACACTTGCCACAAAATGCTGGAGAAGAGGTCCAGGGAGATGTCATGGGCCTGGTAGTTTTTGTTGGTATTCTCAGATCTCCTAGATGATAATGGTCTTAAGAGATAATGGGCCTTCCAGAGCTAAGGCTCCACTGGTATTTTATTTTGTAACTGAATCTTACTATGTAACCTAGGGTGGCCTTGAACTTACTATCCTCCTGTCTCAGACTTCCAAGTTCTAGGATCACAGGCACAAACCATCATACCAAGTTAGTACTAATACTTAAAACTTGGTCTTGTTAAAACTTTACTTTTCTGACAAGACCTGGAAAGCACTAGGATGATTTTTCTGCTACTGCTACAGCCTTAAATGCTTATTGGGGATGTTAAGCTGATTAACAGCACTTTTTACATTATTGCTGCAGGTTTCTTTGGAGTAGAACTCTGGAGGCTGCTATCAACATCGGGCATTTAGATGTTTAGCGAAGGCAAAGAGGAAGGGTAGAACATACCCAGTAACCAGGGTAAAGACAGAAAAGGACAAACTTTCTAAGTATCATCATGATGCTCAGGGCTCTAAGCAACTAGATCTGCAACATTCTTGAGATCATCTCCATCAAAGTATTCTATAATCTTAGGCTAAAGGCAGCCCAGCTGAGGAGGGTATCAATTCTTCCCTAAGCACCACCATGAGAACCTTTCTGTTAATCAAACTCAGGCCTAGGAAAGCCCAGATTCTTGTCTTGATGGATCAATACAAAAATGGCAGGCTGGGCCTGGCTTGTCTGAATAAGAGATTGGAATTTGATTCATTCACCAATCTCAGGACTCATAAGTGGCCCGTGATACTGTCAGTCATCCAGTGGCTGACAGTGTGTCCTTTCAACAATTTCAGGAGATACAAGTTTTAACACTTTATCTTTTGTTCTCCAATCAAATCATCAAAAAGTTGCACCTGAGATCACAGCACCATCTGCATCGGTGAAAATGTCTGGGCCTCGCAGACCAATGCCACCCTTTTCACCCTGTAAAGATTAAATAGATTATACACAAAAATTTCCTTGACTACATCACCTAAGATCTATAGGCCTTCAAAGCAAAGCCCCAGGAAAGTGAAAAGTTCCTTCTTCCTTGACTCCTGATTGCCATCTATTTCAGAGGTTAATTTACAAGAACAAGAAATCGAAGATGAAGGTGACAATGTAGCTGGATTTGCAAATTTGACCTGCAAATTTGCATTCTGTTTCTGGGCCTGGAACATGTATCACAAGCACAAATAACACAGCTAAAGAAGCAATCAGATCTCTTTTTCTTTTTTATCTCAGCCAGGCCTAAGATTCTACTACTATCTTTATTGATTGAATGATGGCAAAAAAGTCTAAAGAGTGCTAATTCTCTGCAAAGACAGACTCAGTGACTAGAATCTGATCCAGGGGAATACCCAGAGTGGATGCTAGGGTAGGTAATAAAAGGGTGAATTATTAATAGAGAACTTTAAACACTAAATGTTGGTAATGTCTGAGGAATGTTCATTAGCTTTGTGTACATCATGGGGGTACATGCATTTTTAAAGAAAAGTGTGACATCTAAAACATCAAACTATTAAAAAATACTCCATATCATAAGAAAGCATTTATAGGAATCCTTCACTTTTTCACCTCTCAAATCCTGGAGTTGTATTTCCCAATGCTATTACCTTAATTCCTGGGAACCCGTTAATCCCAGGAAAACCAGAAGTCCCCTTCTTTCCCTGTGATAGAAACATAGTTATCACTAAGTTCAAGTATAAGAACATAAGGTGGGCTGCCCTGTGCATTATGCCAAGGCAAATAGTTCAGGGATTTGCTGTCATTCAAAGTGTAGACAGCTTTTCAAATTCTTCCAGATGATAATATGGCATCATGTAGTAAACTTGCGTATTAAAGTGCATAATAGTCACAAGGGTATGGGTATAAGCAGGCTAGTCTTGCTGACCCTTGATAACATTCCACAGTATATTACCACACTATGGCATGGCAAAACACAAAATGTAATTTAATAGTGGTTATCCAAGCTTCACACACACACACACACACAGAGAGAGAGAGAGAGAGAGAGAGAGAGAGAGAGAGAGTTACTAGGATTATAACATGTTATTAAAGAGAGTGGAAAATTTGCATTATCAGCAATGTCTTCATTTGGCTATGTTAAGTAAAACTAGATGATCTTTTGATTAGGAGTTTGTATACTAATGCTTTATGGATATTAATCAAATACCTGTCTCCCCGGCTGTCCTCGTACTCCTTCTGAACCCATGGAACCCTGTAAAGTGAAGAACCACACCCTGTAAAGTTGAATAGATCATACTAGAAATAAAGGCTGTTAGCGCATATAACAAAGTTATCCATCTGAGTTCAGGATTTAGTAGCTCCTACAGGCAGCTAAGAAAATCTTCTTAGACTTGGCTTAATGACTTCTTTCTAGGCATTCATTCCACTAGGATGAATAGTTTCATGGAACATTTTTAAAGAGCTAAATAAATGGAAACATTTTAAGTTGTAGGAGGGATTTAGTAGAAGGGTTGGATAATATACTTAGCTGTATTGGTTTCAAGTCAGTGGTTTTAAATAGACTATTGGATGGCTTCTTGTCTGCTACCCCCAAACATATGCTTTATTAGTGATTATGAGTTTTAAAAGACAAAGGATAAGAGAAAGGAGAGAAAGAAATGTCAGAGCAATGACTAAATACCACTAAATACTCAGAGACTTAACATCCTCATGGACAAATTAAAAACACAATTCTCTAAAATGTGTTTGTGTAAGGTAAAAGTTGGACAGTTTCTTATAACCCAAGTTCTCAGTTCCCAAAAGCTAGGAATTGAAAGGGATGATAATTATTTCTCCATTCAAAAGAAGATTATTTTGGAAACTGTTGACTATAAATATCATTCACCATGTTCTAGAAGTTTCCAGACTTATGTCTTATAAAGATTACACTTAGCTCTCTTTCATTCCTGATCTACTTCTTGCCCGAATTCCCCTGGATTTTAGAACAATAAAAGCAAGAAAATGTGTGCACCATTCTTTAGCTCAGTAGAAAACTATGTATGTAAGTCAGAAGCAGAAGTTGACTGGGGAGCCACCTAGGTGTAGCAGCTACATCATTCCTTTTGCAATGGAGTCAATCAGTCAAGAGAATGGGGATAAGTGGAGAGGCGAGCCTGCCAGAAAGTTGAGGAGAGAAATAAAAGAAGCTTAGCCCATAAAATTACACAAGCTAGGGATGGAACAAGAAAGAAAATGAAGACAATAAAGAGACCTACATTTCTTTTAAAAAAAGAGAGAAAGAAAAAGAAAAGAAAATGGATCAGGTGACTTGATAAACACAGGCAAATGACACTCCAGGTTCATACCCTAGGTCCTGGCAAACCAAGGATTCCCCTTTCTCCTTTTTCTCCAATAGATCCAAACTCCTGAAGGAAAAAAAGAAGCCAGAAATTGTAACACTCATTTTCTCATTGGGATAGTATGATGGCACATACCTATAATGTCAGTTCTTTGGAGGCTATGGCAGGAAGAGTGCCATGAATTTGAGACCAGCTTGGGCTACATAGTAAGTTCCACATTGAGTTAGCAAGACTCAATCAATCAGTTATTTTCTCATTTGTTGCATGGCTCCATCCAAGAGAAAGAAGAAAATTCAAACCACCTCTACTGAGTCCTTAGGGAAGAACCTTGTATTGAACATCTTGCTAAAAAGCACACAGAGAATGAATATGCTTTAGACCATTCACTCAGTATTGCTTTGTGGTTCTAGAAGTAGTGCCTTTTCCCATGTACTTGTAGCATCATGAGCTAACAGCACAGGAATAATAAAGTACCTAAACTCCCACAATGATTTTACAGATGAGGGAAAACTTCCAGGAAAGGTAAGAATCAATGAGAAAGCCAGTCTTCTGTGATTCCAGAGTCCTTTCTATGAGTCCCAGCTGCATTCTGCCATCTAGAAGCTTGACTTTGACAGAACAATGGGAGATTGAATAGATGTTTGGAAATTTATTCTATAAGGAACACATTTCCCCCTTTAGATACACACGAGAACCACAGCATCCTTTTCGATGGGAAAGGAATATTTTTACCTACAGTCCCATACTGGTACTTTTAAATTTTAATCAGTTCCTTTTGCATTGCTACAAGAAGTGAGAACTTACAGCCATGGGTTTGATTTTTGGGCTCTCTAGAGACAAGTAGGAAATCTAAGAAGCTGATCGAGAGAACCTTGTGAAGTCTGGGTCCAGGGTCAACATCCAGGCCCCCAAGTTATAGAAATATTCATTGCCAAAGTGAATAAAATCTTTGATGGGAAACTTACCTGAAGCCATTTGTAACTGTTTAAAATTGTACATATTGGAACATAGTTTTTTTGGTAAACAGCATTTATTCCTATTGTAAGAGTAAAGGAGGAAATGAACCTTTCTCAAATATAAGCTTGTTGAAAGATGCTAACTGTAGCTGGGGTGTATCTCCTATTGTTCCCTTGATGTGATCTAACTCAGCTGGTATGAGGACACTGTCTTGATCCCATCTGTATCTTTTTCTTCTTCTCTTAAATAATCTGTGTATTATCACAAGTACTGCAACCTGGATGAATATCCTGGAGGCTTTGTAGGCTCGGGAGTTAAAAAAAAAAAAAATCAAATGTGGGATTTTCTATTGCTTTTTCCTTGTGGAGAAGGTATTATTGAGGGGTGCAGTTTAATAGGGCTTTGGTTCCTACTTCTTATTTTCCTTTTCTGCTTCCATAGATTCCAGCCTTGATGCTAAATACAGTATATAATTTAAAAGGACTATGGTCATCCAACACAATCTGGACTCCTCCCCACTTTTTAAAAAGAACATGAAATGGGGTGAATAGGGGGGTGGGGGAGCATCTGTGAGGAGTTGGGGGAAGGGAGTGAATATTATCAAAATATATTCTATGAGATTCTCAAAGATTAAATAAAAATATAATTGAAAATATTAAGTGGAATGCAAACTTGCCTGAAATCTTAAATTCCTCCACCCCATATTTCAAATTGGAAACAAAACTATATTGCCACTTGGCAGAATATGTCTAGTGGCCTCTAAAGTTGAATAATTCAAGTAACCTTCCATGACCTGTCCAAAAGTGTTACGGCAGTTAGTGCTGCTCCAAACTCTTCACTCATAAGACTTCTATGAAAGCTTTCTAAGTGTAAAACCTGTCTCACAGTCTTCCCTGTCTCCCCGTGAACCATGTTACTGCTAACTGCACATGTGCAAAGTGATCCAGGAAATACTTACCGAATTAAGTGCAATCATGGCACAGAGAATAAAACTATGGCAAAAGATAAACCAACACAAACAAAATGCCCAAGAACTATAATATGCCCCTATCCAGCTTTCCCAGGAGGATAAATACAAGACAGTCTTTTACTTCTTCAAAAAGTTGTAATTTTCAGCATCTCGAGGTCCAGAGTTTGTAAAAAGGATGAACAAAAATAAATATGTGAAAAACTTAAAAAGGAAATCTCTCTCTCTCTCTCTCTCTCTCTCTCTCTCTCTCTCTCTCTCCCTCTCTTTTTCTTTCCTGCTCTATTTTCTCCTGCTTTTATCTCTCTGCCAATAAAAACAAATGGTTTGGTTTGGCAAGCCACTGTGTTGTGGGGCTCAGCTTGCCTCCCAGCACAGGGAGGTAGTGTTCAGAGGTCCCGCTGAACAAGCTGTTCTAGCTAGCTATCCTGGGACCTGATCTATTACAGTTGGCCTTGGAGCGTAACAATCCTTTCATGGTGCATCCACCCTTTCTACTTACCCATGGCCCAGAAGTCTTCTTAGGGTACTGGCTTAGTTCTTTTCAGCCTTACTCTCCAGACCTCAGGGCACCTGTTCATTTCTGTTTCTAAGGAGACTCAGAGAACTCCACCTACCCAGCAGTTGCCTCACATCTACTCAATAGTTGCCTTCAGGGTTTGTCGGTGGTTTCATGTCTGTTCTCACCCAGAACCACTGTCCTTTTACCTTCTCCTATGTGTCCACATTCCTTGGACAAAGGGCACCTGTGTATACAGTTCTGACAACCTCCACGGAGGAACCTGTGGCCTACAAGTGTGAGCATGCTTCTGGGGACAGGGGAGGTGAAATGAGCGAAGCTGGGAACAAACCAGAAAATTGGGGATTTTTTTTAAAAAAGCAATTAATTAGTTACTTTGCTTGCTTATTTATTTTTAAACCACAGAGGCTGCAAGAAAAAGAATGTGAGGCACATCTCTATCAGATTGTCCATTTTATCTCCTGCAAAGATTTGAGCTAAAAAGGGAAGGAAGAGGGAATGCTTTGGATTCCCTAGGGATTTCTGTCCTCTGAAGGCCTTGTTTTTCAGTAAGCACGGGTAAGTGAAAGCTGGTGTGATGGAGGCTTTGGGTTCTTTTGAAAAGCTCATGACACCCAACACATGGTATCTATCACCTTTCCTCTCACAACTTTGCTGTCAAGCACATTAAGGTATTCCTGAGTGTTCACATTAAGCAGGTAGGTATCTCAGAAGGGAAGGTGGTATATGATTGGGTTACTGGCACCCACTGAATCCATGTAGAGGTGATCTGAAAACTGCTTCCCTGATTTCCATTCTATGAAGTGCAGTGTGCTATGTACTATGTGTTTTTTTTTCCAGTCAGGGTTTCTGTATTCTCAACCAGAGCTGTGAAACATTGAAAACACTGAGCTGGGGACAGTACTGAGATTTATTATCACGTGTTGTCATCAGTCAGTCTCTTTTACAGGAGTGAAGGGAATGCTTTGATATCACTGCTGAGGAAATCCTCCCAGGTCTAAGTGAAGAAACCGGGAGGGAGCATGAGCTAGTGAATCCCAAATCCCAGAGCAGCAGAGATCACAAAATCCTGGCGATTTAAGAGTCAAAATACTTCCACTGGGTGACTTTCGTGAACTGACCTGCAGGGGGCAGTATGGTATGAGGAAACAAATGCTGATCTGGCTAGCATTCAACACTATTGAAAGGAGCACTGGGTCTGCATCGGTCTGCACCAGGTCCTCTGCGTGTATATCATGGCTTCCAGTTTAGTGTTTTTCTGGGGTTCCCGTGTGTGTGTGTGTGTGTGTGTGTGTGTGTGTGTGTGTGTGTGTTTGTATGAGTGGACATCTATTTCTTGTGATTTCTTTTGGGCTCTTTTCCTTCTGTTTATATGTTTTGTCCAATTCCAATGTGTTAGTTTTGGCTCTATTTATTATAGGAGCCTATTTGTTTTCTAATGTTAGACAGAATGGGAGTGGATATGGAAGGGAGGGAATGTGGAGAGAAACTGGGAGAAGTAGAGGGAAGGGGAACTGTAATCAGGATATATTATGTGAGAAAAAAATCTATTTCAATGAAAGGAAAAAAGAATTGGTTAAAAAAATGATTAAACAACCCTTGTTCATTCTGAGAAAAAAGCAAGAAACCAAAACCAAACCAAACCAAAACAAAACAATGCAGAATGGCAGTCTCAGCAGTCTGAGTAAGCAGCTGTGTGACTCCAGCAAGCCTCTTTACCTGCTAAGGCTATGGTTTCTGCCTCAGGAGAAGAGGAACAAACCTGGACTCACTTGTTCACCTCACAAGGAGACTCCAGGTGACAAGAGTCTGTACAAAATGCTTTACAAAGAAAGGGATAATCTTTCTTCCCAAACCTCCTTGCAGAGTGCCACCTGATAGAAATATAACGTGAGCCAGTATGGTACTTGCAGCTTTATTAGTAGCTATATTTTAAAAATGACTAGAGATTTTAACAGTTATCTGACTCCATCATCAATAGGAGCTGTCTCAAATTACTCTTTCCATACGGTGTTTGGAGATCCAGTGTGTATTTGCTTACATTACAGCTCATCTCATTTCAGATGGACCACATTTCAACAGTTCCATAGGTAGCTGCAGATGATGGCATTGCATGGGAAAGCTTTGTAATGAATCTTCAGTACAGAGCAATGTGGGCCTCACAAAGAAGGAAGAAGACTAGCTAGGACCGCACTGCATATGTACAGAAAATAGTTCATCAGTTTGTCTAAGTCCCAGAGCTGGAGTTGAGTCTAAGGTGAGGGCACTCTACCTTCAACACCATGGCTCATTTCCTTTCCCATTCACTAGCTGCAAAACTGATTAAAATCAAGGGAGGAGGACAAATGACTCTCTATGCCCCTTTGTTTTTGTGGGGTAACAGGAATCCTGATGGAAACAATCTGTGCCACTGGCTCCCCCAGCTCTGCTTCCTGACCACACGGTGAGACACAGAGTATTTCAAAGTACTACCAGGAAGGACTGGAATCCACAGTTATTCCCACTGTGCCAGAAAGTGGGGAAGACCTTGTCCTGATTTATACACTTTCTCTCAGTCTCTAAGCCCAATTCATGAAAGCTTTGTCAGCTTCCTCAAAACACATTTTGTCACATAAGAAACAACCAAATGCAATGCAGTGGTCTCATTCCAGTTCTTATGCAAACAAGGCACCTGAAAACTGTATACATTTATGATCATAGATTTCTGCCTTCTTAACTGATACTAAATAATAACTGATTATCAAGTTTTCAAAAATCCCCATTTTGAGAAATACTAAAGTATTTATGATGAAATATGTTGAATATATAATTCAGGGAGACCATGTGCTGCTAGTTGTGGGAGCAAGGTAATGAGTACCCAGGAAGATCGTTATGCCATTGTCTTTGTATTTGTGTGTGTCTGAAATGGTCCATAATAAAATGTTTATCTCTTCCGCTTCCCTCCATTTCCATGGCTATGAACATAGCCTGAGCTATTACTACCATCTTTTGCCTGGGCTGCTGTAATAACTTGTGCTTACTGCTCCAGATCCTCTCATCTGTCCCTCATCCAGTCAGAATGATCTCAACAATACAAGCCAGAGATGGGGAGATGGGTTAGATTCTTGCCATGCTAGTGCCAGGAGCAGAGAGATTCCCAGAACTCACTTAAAAGATGGGAAGGCATGGTGACACCCTGTATGTAATCCTAGCACTCAGAAAATAGAGGGAGGGATCCCTGAGACAGCCCTGGATTCCCCAAGAGACTCTGTCTCAATAAATAATGTGGAGTGATCTAGGAATACATCCAATATCATCTTTGGGCTTCCACACATATGTGTACATGCATGAATGGGTACTTACACACAAAGGTGCACTTACACATATGTAAACAGACATACACACCATGCACATGCACACACACACACACACACACACACACACACACACACATGCATGCACGCACGCGCGCGCGCGCACACACACACATACACACTCACAAATAGCTTCTCATGATACTTCAAATAAAAGCTACATTGACTTCTGAAGCTGGTTGTGACCTGACTCCTCTCTCTCTCAGTTTGTTCTTTCCTTTCCACTCAACTGCTTTATTTTGATTTTTGAGATATGGTCTTGCTGTGTAGCCCATGCTAGCTGAGAACTCATGATGATCCTTCTGCCTCAGCCTCTTAGTTGGTAGGACTAGAGTTCCATGCTACCATCCCAGGTCCTGACCACTTATCTTCTGTGTCTCTGATGTGCCAAGCTTTCTCAATCTCAGGGTATTGGAATTTATGGTTCCCTCAGTCTACAGGCGCTCTTTCTCATATGCACATGACTTGTTCCTTTATATTAAACAGGTCTCAGCTTACACAGGACTTCTTCCTTCTTCAGAGAGGCTTTGGTTGACCACTCTCTCCCACCTATACTCCATCACTGCATTCATCTTCCATCTTTCATATATCACCATCGCATGGGCTTTTTTTTTTTTTTTTTGCTCACTTTTCTTTGTGCCACTGGGAATAGAAGCCAGGGCCTTGGGCATGCTAGGCAAACAGTGTACCACTGAGTCATCCCACAAGCTCTTGAATTTGCTATTGAGTCACCTCTTGTTTTCCACATTCTTTATCACTTTTCCATTAGAATGTAGTCTCAAGGACAGAGAGGAACTTTTATAGCCTCTGAGTACAGAAGAAAAGCCAGCACACAGAGCCTTCCAAAAAACATGTGCTGAGTATAAGAATCTAAGCTAGAAAGGCAGATAGGAAGGTCAAGATTGGATTACTCAAAGCAGATATTGCTTACTGAACACTTGATAAGTTCCAGTTATGCACAAAGCTTCTCTCATGTGCATTATCTCATTTCATCTTCAGATATACTCTATCACTGTCCTCTTTTGTAGGCTAGGAGAACAAAAGTCAGAAATATTAAGAGATTCTTGGCCCAGAAGGCAAGCCTAGGTCTGTTTTAACTCTAAAGTTAGAGCATGGAGAGCCATGCTAAGAAGTTCCATGAGGTCAAGAAACAAGAATATTTCCTTCAATGCCTTCAGTGAAGATGGCAGCATTCACAGTCATAACAATGGGTGGAGATTTTCCTCTCAGCCACACAGTGCTTTTTATGTAATAAGACCCTGGAATACATGTTTACCAAGTGTGAAGACTTACCGGGAAACCTGGAGGGCCACTCATGCCTGGGAAACCTGGAGGCCCTGGTTCACCCTGGAAAGTTAACCAAAGGCTAATGAGTAGCAGCAAGAGGCAATGAACATGAACTATAGAAGCTCCTTCAAAGTACTTGGGCTACTCGATAGGGAACACAGTATGAGTATTGCAGCATGGGATAGTAGTGTAGATTTGTATGCTTGCCAGGATGTCTTAGTTTACAGAGTCCCTTAGCTTATGGAAGGTCAATGACTAATACATAATCTCAAACACATGAATTGGGACAGGAGAACAGTTAGTTGTTTCATTTCCTGGGGAAGAAGCTGCTTTGAAAACATAGGCTACAAAGAACAGAATGGTCTCAAGCAAAGGCTAAGGATCAAAATGTGAAATGAGACACATAACATTCTAATGTCTCTCTCCCTAAGTGCTAATTTATCTTACAGGGGCCATGGAAAAGCTCCCTATGGTTTAGAATGGACCAGAGGGGCAAATAATCTGCTATATACTCCTAGATTGGTCCCAAGTCAAGGACTTCCCTAATATAAAGCTGGAGAAGTGGTCTTAACCCGTGGGTCAGGTCAAACAACCTTTTCATATTTCCATTATGATTCACAACAGTAGCAAAATTACAGTTATGCAGCAGCAATGAAATAATTTTATAATTGGGGGTCACCACAACACGAGGAACTGTATTAAAGGGTTACAACAGTAGGAAGCTTGAGAACGACTGAGCTAGAGGGAATGGAGTTGTCTACAAAAACAATATCAAAGAAGTGAGACTACATTTTCCTCTGGGCCCTTTCATCATGGAAATAGAATCACAAAATTCAAAGGAACCCCAGGAAGGAAGAGAATGCAGGCTCCTGAAAGGTTATCAGTGCACTCTAACCGAATAGAACTGTTGAAACACAAGCATGTACACGTTTATCCTAATGGGAATGGGCAGACTATGAAATATAACCTTGGTGATTCAGGTAAGGCAAATTTGATCATCCCCTGCCACTTGTTAACAATATTCCGGATATTTAAGGTCAACTATTTCCCCTCAGTGCTGTGATAGAACCCAGGGCCCTGCTAAGCTCTCTACCAGTGAGTAAAGCTTGAAGGGCAAACAACTTCTTCAAAATGATAACTCAAAAGGAAACATTTATACTCAATACATTTCGTGGACAGCTTAAATACTGAGAGGTTTGGAGTTCTGAGGAAAAATTTCAAGCATGCAATGCTTGCTTTAATTTATTTGGCATATTAAAATTGAATGTGCAAGTCTGAGGCAAAAAATATTGCTTACATGAATAGTCAGATACAGGTACACTCACACCTATACACCAGACAACTCAGGATTTTCAGAATTCTTTCCATCAAGAACAAAACAAGGAAGTCTTTACCTTCCCTTCCAAAACCCATTACTCCTACTTTGGAATTGGCTCAGGTTAGTCTGATTATTAGACTTGAATTCTAGTTTTAACAGGAAAGGGTCAATTATTTTTTTTCTATAATAAATGTTTGCTACCTTGGAGCCTTTCTTCCCTTTGGGGAATCCCATGAATTCTAGTTCCCCAGTAGATGGAGGTGGTCCTGCAGGGCCAGGGAGGCCGACATCCCCCTGTAAAAATCAAAGACACCATTGAACAAAAGATAATTTGTAGATCATTCTTGCAAAAAGCAAGCTTGCCTTCTGGATGTAATCCACAAATAAATGTCCATTATTTTGGACTCTTTACGACCTTGTGTCAAGGAGAAAACTGAAATTTCATTAATAAGAGATAATAAGAACTCTAAGCCCAAGAGTGAGTTTCGTACTATCATGGCACAGGGAAAAAACAAATGGATGAAAGAAAACCAGACTCACAGTTGCATGTTCATATACAAAGGGGTAGTGAGAAGAGATCCACATGGGATTTGGGCAAGGGGAATGACTACCTCTTGCCAGCAGTGAGAAGACTCTATTGGGTTTGTGTGACCTGTAGTCCACAGGCTGCATATGGTCACATGCAGCCAAAGGTAGCTATGGATGTTTCCCAACACAAAATTGTAAACTTGTAAAAAAAATTGTGAGATTTTTTTCCTGTGTTATTCTTTTAGTAAAATTGGGTCACAATGTCAAAAGGTTAAACATGTCTGATTGGTCCAAAGGTGGGAAGGAAGGTAAGAAAAGAGAATAGTAAAGGAGAGACAGAAGAGCTAGGAAATACGTGTTTTTTTTTTTTTTTTTTTTTTTTGTGTGTGTGTGTGTGTGCAGGAGGGGAGGGAGGAGGGTAAGGTGAAGAATAGAGGGACAGCAGGAAGTGGAGAAACAGAAAGAGCAGGCAATAGAATATGCAAAAGCACAGATAAATACCTAGGTGGGAGAAAAGGAAAGAATAAATTTTAAGAGAGTATATTTGTAGAAAATGTAGACTTATACATAGAAAACAGGGTGAAATTTTTGTGTATGGCATTTGTACATGTAGCTTTCAATGGATCCCAAAGGGGAACTATGTGAGATGGGAAATGGCCATTTTCTAAGACAGAAAACCAATCCATTTGCACAAGCACGCATATATGTGTAACTAGAGACATTTATTGCAGCATGTGGGATGCAGATTGTATTTTCAGAATCTATTTACCTTGACTCCTTTTTCTCCTTGGAAACCTAACCCCATATTTCCCTGGGGCACAGGGGTACAGGGAAGAAAAAGAAAATCAATTAATAATAAGCTCTGGCAACTTAAATTGGAATGTGTTATTTTTATTTTTAACTAGAAAATAGATTTCAACCAGTATCTTTGTGGGGGAATATAACAGAATTTAGTGGCAGGACATAAATACTCCCGAAGCATACTTACATCAGGACCAGAAGGTCCAGCGGGGCCTGGGGGACCCTAGATTAGCAAGTAAGAAAAGAGTGAGTATTTCTTCATTATAGACAAAAAAAATACAACAAAATAAAAACTATGGCTATGCTGGGCAAGAGCAGGGGTATGCTGGCTCCCTGCTTAATGCAGATTAGCTTGGGATTAGTGGCTTTTTGCTCCATCTCTCATGATTTCTTTTAAAAAGTTGTTTTTTATTTTTAATTATGTTGCTGAGTGCAGGTTTGTGCATCTGAGTGCAGTGTCTGCCCACCGAGGCTAAAGGATGGTGATTGGATCCTGTGGTGCTCCTGGAGTTTACAGACAGCTGTTGGTTTTTGTGAGTTACCCAGTGTTGGTGCTGGGAACCAAACTTGGGTCCTCTCTAAGAGTGCTATGTGCTCTTAATCCTTGATCCATCTCTTCAGTCCCTCTCATTGTTTCTTTTATCTCGTAAATTGGCCTGGTGGTCATATTTATGCAAAGACAGTAAAAATAGCACGCGTTATTCCTCATAGCATGCTAGGAATGTTTCAATATGACTTGGTGAAGTTCAGCTATAAGTTGAAGGATTTAGGCATTGGTGAGAATGACCTGGGGATAAGGCCTTCCCAGAAGCAGATCTGACTAGCTATATTCTTCCTTTACCCTACATAGTTTCAGGGTCAGAAAAGCAGGTAGGTACAGCTATCCAAGGTGCAAGGCTGGGAAGATTTGGAAGTACCCTTAGAAGGGTGATGATAGTGGTTGGTATGATTAATTATCAATGCATAGCATAATGAGGGAGCAGACAGCACCAATAGATGTGTCAAGTGTCTGTCTTCTCTTGGCTATACCTAAGGTTGAGCTATACTAGGAAGCTTTAGGGACACAGAATCTCACTACAGTGAGAGCCTGTGTCTAAAAGAGAGAAAAGGGAGGGGGACATGGATAAAGAGAAGGAATATGTTTCAGTATAATCTTCCAGAAATGGCTTTTGCCCTTTTGCAAGGGAGCCTAAATTATTACATAGGCCTGTATTTGATCCATGGCATGGTGAAGACAGTGAATACTGCAAACACACACTAGACTTAAGTTGGTCTTACTTGTAAGCCTGGTGGTCCTATGGGTCCTGCATCTCCAGGAGATCCGGGGGATCCTGATGGACCCTGGAGACAAGTTTTTATCAAAGTCAAAAGGCAAGATAGCTTTACAAAAAACAAAACAAAACAAAACAAACATGTATGTTCACAAGAATTGTATAAGAGTTGCTACAGCATTTTTATTCATAATAGAAACAGTTGAGACTTTTCCAAGTAGTCACTGATACAGGGATTGATAAATGAACTGTGACATAAAACAGTGAAAAGCAGCAAATTTACTTACATTTGGAATAATATGGATGAATCTCAAAAGCACTGTGGTAAGAGAAGCTAGACCCAAAAGCCTACATATGATATTATTCCCTATATATGACTCTCTAGGATAAGGGAAAACTGATCAACACCGAAGAATAATCACAATGGAGTTTGCCTTTAGGGTGAGGTACAGATGGAGATTAACTGTGAAGAGACAAAAGGGAATTTTCTGGGGTGATACTATCTATGTTCTGTGGCTTTAATGGAATTCTGGGTTACCTAGGAGTCAGCATCGGCCAAAATTCAGCAAACACACATTTAATATTTGTGGATTTCTTTGCAAAAAACATTATGAACAAAAAGGAAATCAAAGCAAATATTGACGTTTAACTGATACTAGGTATGCTATTGTATTTAGGAGTAATTCAGTGATATGCTTTGAAATGCATCAAAACAGTATGAACTAATGGATAGACAGTGATAAATGGACAGGAGAGCAATAAAGAGTCTAGTAAAATATTAAAGTTATGAATAAATGTTGCAAAATTCATTATACTTGGCTCTGTATTTGATTTTTTGTGTTTGGTTCTTTTTTGTATTTGAATTTTTACTATTAAAGTATTTTAAAAAGAAAAAAATGTAGTTATTTAGTATCAGATAAAACAAACTTCAAGATAAATGTTATTAACCAGATATAAAGAGGGGGCATTTCCATTATAGGTTTAAAGAGTAATCAAGCACTAGGGAAATGTCTGGAGATCTACAAGGATGACACCAACTAACAACAATCTACACAACAGAGGAAAGACTACCTTAAATGCCCTCCCCTGATAATGAGATTGATGACTGACTTATATGCCATCCTATAGCCTTCATCCAGCAACAGATGGAAGTAGAAGCAGACACCCACAGCTAAACACGGAACTGAACTTGGATCCAGTTGCAAAGAAGGAGGACTGACGAGCAAAGGGGTCAAGGCCAGGCTGGTGAAACCCACAGAAACATCTGACTTGAACAAGGGGGAGCTCTTGGTCCCCAGACTGATAGCTGGGAAACCAGCATGGGACTGATCCAGATGCTATGAATGTGGATATCAATGAGGAGGCCTCAGAAGTCTATGGGGCCTCTTGTAGTAGATCAGTACTTGTACCTCGCATAGGAAAGAACTTTGGGAGCCCATTCCACATAGAGGGATACTCCCTGAGCCTAGACACACGGGGGTGGGCCTAGGCCCTATCCCAAAGGATATGACAGACTCTGAAGACCCCCTATGGAGGGTTTCACCCTATCTGTGGAGCTGAAAGGGTATGGGATAGGTAAGGTGTTTGTTGGGGAGGCAGGGGAGGAGGGGAGGGAGAGGGAACTGGGATTGACATGTAAAACAATCTTGTTTCAAATTTAAATAAAAATGGAGTAAAAAATATAAAACATGTTATTGTTAAAATTTTCAATATCTTTTCCTCAGTAATTCATAGAACTGAAAAAAAACAACATACTGATTATCAAAACACCTGACAAAATAAATATTGCTTAAATCCACCATTGCTGGATATGTGTTCTCTGAAAGTTTTGGTCATAAACTCAACTCCAGCAAATTCAACAGGATTAAACAGAAGAGTGTGTCCTCTTAATTTTGATAAAATCAAACTAGAAATTTATAATAGACAGGTAGCTGGAAGGTAACCAAATACTTGGTAATGAGAAAACACACTTCTAAATATTCCATAGGTCAAAAAGAAACTAAAAAGTCATATGGAAAATCAGAAAATGTATAGAATTGAGTATCAGCACTTAAAAAAGACTAAAATTAGGAGAAAGCTGGTCTGGAGAAATGTAAGGCTCCATTTCAGTGGGGTAGCAGGATGAAGGCTGTTTGTGCCCATGAAAGGGATGGAAAGTCTAAGAGAGGTCAAGGTTCAGACAACAGGAAGAGAAAGAGGATTTAGAAGATTCCCTAGAAATGAAGATGCCATGATCTACTCACCTACACAGAAGAATAATCACAATGGCATTTGCCTTTAGTGTAGGGTAGGGACAGGTACTGACTGTGAAGAGGTAGGAGGGGATTGTCTGGGGGATGCTAATGTTCTGTGACTTAATAGAATTTTGGATTGACAATCAGTATCAACCCATGGTCTTCTTATTGATCACAAACCTGTTGTTTAACTACCAAACATCCTGTCCTCAAAGCTAACTCCTTTTTACATCATGTCTGTATTGACAGGCAAATACTATATGTCTGTGGGCAGCAGACTGAATCTCTAGGAGAAATTGTGAAGCAAACAGAGTGGTTACTATTATACGAATTTAATGAACATACTTTGAAAGCCAATTTTGTTTAGTTCTGGCACTCCTCTATACCTTGATCCTTAGTCATCTTTGTTTTTTTGTGTGGGCTTACATACTTCATATATTTTTATAAGCATACAACCACTGCTAGCAAGTCTAAACTTCATCCATACTCCTCAGAAACAACATTCTCATTTATAGATACATATCTCCTACCAGAAATTTAGATACATAGTTCTTCCCTAAGGGCTTCTGGAATTCTTCTGACAAATTTCCACCATTACACTTTTTACATCCTTTGTGGGAGGGACAATTTCTACATTATCTCTGGGATCACTCATAGCACTTTGCTCATAGTAGGTACTCCATATGTATTGAGAGCTAACAAGACAAGAGAAGATAAGCAACAACAAATACAAGAAATCAGGGACAGTTCTTAGACTTTTTCAAAAGTAAGCGATGGTAATGCGGAATCTCAGGGAAAAAATTTCTTAGGAGTGCAACTTGTGGACTTTCATGTACTCTTACCAATGCCCTAAAAGAAATTTCTGTATGTGATACCTTTATAAAAAAGTGTGTATATAACACTGAATACACAGAAAAACACTTCCTAGATCGTTGTTAATGAAAGGCAGGGTACATTCCTAACATATGCAAGAGAATAGAGTGGACTCCCTATCCGTTGTTTTCCTTTCCATGTTTCCAGTTACCCCATCAACCACAGAAAACAGGAAAAGTATGAGAGGGCTTATCTTCAAGTAACCTTTAGATGGTCACCTGCTGTTATGTCTCATAGCCTACATCACTCACCTCATCATATCACATAGGCTTTGTGTGTTCCACATCTTCACGAGAAGAGAAACACTGAGTGCAACACACTAAGTTACTTTGAGAAAGGATTCAGGTTGTTGTTGTTGGGAATCACACTAACATAACTTTTACTACTTATCTTACTATAGTATGATTAGAAGATTCCCTAGAAATGAAGATGCCATGATCTACTCACCTACACAGAATAATCACAATGGTATTTTGCCTTTAGGGTAGGTTAGGGACAGGTACTGACTGTGAAGAGGTAGCAATTGTTGCTAATACCTTACTGTGCTTAACTTATAATTTAACTCTATCATAGGTCTATATACATAGGAAAAGCATGGTCTATATAGGGCTTAGTATTATCCATGGTTTCAGGTATCCACTAGGGGCCTTGGAACATACTCCCTGCCAATAAGGGATGCATCAGATCCCTGATCTAAAGTCTGAAGACTGACTGTCTTAAAACTTGAGGTGGCCAGTTCATCTCAGGATTTTCTGTCTGGAAAATGCAGGAAGTATGACTTGTTCTATCTCAATATTCTGGGTTTTCCTTGAGTAACTCTACAAAGACCTTTGATTTCCACTAAGAAGAGGGAAGAGATACTCATTTGTGAGTTGACAAAGCATGAGAAGTCAACACAAGAAGCACAACTTACAGCCATTCCATCCAGTCCAGGCAGCCCAGGATTTCCCTGAGAAACAGACAAAGAACACACAGAAGAGATTAATCAAGCCCACAGGGTTTCAGACAACCAGCCCAAGATCCATGGGGATAGAAACACATTGCTGCAACTTGGGCCCCTGTCAAAGCCTTGCGTTTTAAAATGCATGAATTGGCTATATCTAACCATTAACTTTTCCCCTGTGAACATTCTGGACTCTAGAAAACAAATATTATAGCCTTGGCTGAACAAGGTTTCCTATTTTACCTAGATTAATTAATTTTCACATTTGCTAGGAACTTATCAATTAGAAACGGCTTCTGCAGGCTGGTTATTTTCTGCTCTTTTTGGAGGAAAGCAAAGCTACCTTCCCATGTGCCCTCATCCCCGGAGAATCTGTGCCTATATGTATACAATGCAAATCAGACATTTCAAGGGAAAATCAACAGAGCATACAGACTCTGATTACGTTTTAATTACTTTGCAGCATCTTAAGTCACTGTATGAATCTGTAATATAACCATCTTGTGGAAATTGCTGTGTTCCATTGGATCCAAGGTTTCTTTGATTTCTGGCAAAACCATTTAATCAGTGTTTGCAAAGACAATGGTTGTATTTTGACACCTGCTAGTCTTGCCCCACTTGGCTTACAGTAGAAACCTCTGAACTCCCTGTAGCATGGAAAGAACACTGCCTGAAGTTTAGTTCTTCAGAGAACTGGCCATCTGTCTCTGAGCAAGTCATATAGCCTTAGATTTTCAATCTGTAAAATGAGTGACATGAATCCAAAAACCATGAGCCCTTGGCAACTTTAATGTTCTATCTTTCTGCTATGGCACTCACAGTCAAGAACCCGATCTCCCTCCTTCTTCTCTAGTTATCCAGCTGTTCCATCCCCATCACTGCTTTTACAGCCACTTTTCAAGGGTTCTGTACCTGTTGGGACTGGTATATGGAAGCCCATTCCATCTTGCCTCGAGTTCAGAGAGCTCAAATCATTCCTATCATCTTTAAGATATTAGCATAATGGCTACAGGATGCCCTGGCCTTGGTGGTAAAAGGCTCCTATCTAAATAGCAATAGACTTGGGCCTAGGCAGGTTTACACTCATCCTGAAGGCTAGATGATATGTGCAACTATGAAGCGCCTGATGGCCAAGTAGTACATGCAGCTATGGAGTGTCTTTAGGATTAAGGGAAGTAATTGCTATTTGCCCTTTATAGGTGATAATAGAAGTCTTCTGCCATTGTCCCCACCTTTGGTTGGTTACTTAAGAGAATGTGTGAATAAACAGAGGCACATTCAGTATGTACTGAAAAATGCCCTCCTGACACTATCCTATGTCTCCATCTTTCCTTTAATGTCTATAGCTAGCCTTCCCTCATCCACACTCCCCCACTCAGGAACAGACCTGGGGCTGCTTGGCTGGTCCTGACTGCAGCCCCACAAACACCGGTTCGCAACATGTACCGAGATGGAAGACAGAGGAAAGGTGTTAATTATCTCAGTAAGCTTGGGGTGTTCTCCACTCCAATGGCACATAAATTCCTATTTGCTACCAGGGCAGTAAGGAGTTCTTTTCCAAGTCTGGGGAGGAATAGAATCAATCATCTGGAATTAGGGTTTATTGAGGCCCCACGAAGCCACCATTTAGCACACAGAGCAACCCTCAATAAAAGAAGATCCTTGACAGGATATCAGATTTCCATCAGTTGCAGAGAGGACAGGCAAGTTTTTCTAGACATTCAGGGATCTAGGGAAGAATAGGGTCAGGATGGTGGGGTGGTAGGCATACTAAACTGTGTAATGACACATATCCAAACCATGGGGCATGAACATTAGGGAGAAAGTGTCTGCCTCTAGAAAAGGTTTTGTCTAGTCAAAGAAAATAATAATCATGCAAAACTGTTTGCCAACCTGCCTCTGATTCTTGTGCAGACTCTGGAAAGCAAATCTCTTGACAGCACAGTTGCAAACATTTCTGCTAATTCTCCCATCACCAAGAAAGCTTGGGATCCTTCTTAAAGCAGCTGGGGCTGCTCTTTAAGCAGGGACACAGATGCTAGTTCTGGAAATGATTTGGTCGGAGGTGGGGCCCGGCCTTGGGGAACCTCTGTCCCACACACTCAGCCACCTGCTTTGGGAGCTCTTACCTTCATTCCTGTGATGCTGTCTTTAAAAGGAGCAGGTTCTCCTTTTGAACCTTTGTGACCAGGAAGCCCCTGGGTAAATGTGAGAAACTTGTGAGAAATGCGTGTTTATACTCTGCATACACACACACACACACACACACAGAGAGAGAGAGAGAGAGAGA